CCTCTCACCCCTCTCATCATATTCCCTGCCCCCCTCGTTTGAGTTAGTTGATTTAATCGTATTTATAAGGTAAAGCTTCCTCTCGCACAAATGCGCTAGTCGTTCCCGACTCTAGGGGGCGCTGCTCATCTCCATTTCAAAGCCGAAGAGCCAGCGCTGTCCGAAGACGTCTCCGTGGTCATGTGGACGGCATGACTCAATGGCCGAAGGCGCACGGAACGCTGTTCCCTTCCCACCAAAGGTGGCTCCTATTTTTCTACTTGCATTTTTTACCTGCTTTCGAGCTGCTAGGTTGGCAGAAGCTGGGACAAGTCACGGGAGCTCCCTCCGTTACGCGGCGCTAGGGATTCGAACCGCTGAACTGCCGAGCATTCTGATCGACAAGCTCAGCGTCTTAGCCCCCCGAGCCACCAAAGCATACTATCCCACCACAACTCTAAAAAGCCACTTGTAGAATTTGGGTCCCTACAGCAATGTTTGCAAAAATAGCGACCAAGCTGAGTGAGCATCGAGCCCCCCCCTCCCCCCACCCCGGTCCTGATTTTCATGAGCGATAGGAGGACCTCGATAACTCTCCGTGCCTCGCTTTTCCCTTTGTATAGGTAGTCCTCAACTTATGACTGCGATGGACCCCAAGCATGCATGTCGCCGAGTGAGAAACAGGTTGAATGAGTTTCGCCCATTTTACGACTCCCCTTGCCCCGTTCCTTAAGCGAGTCGCTGTGGTTCCCAAACGAGTAACACGGTTGCGAAGCGAGCATGGCTTCCCCCGTGGACTTTGCCGGTCGGAAGGTCACAAAAAGGGGCAATCCACGGCGACCGTCATAAGTGTGAATCAGTGAATGTAAATCACGCGATGGTGGGGATGCTGCAACGGCCGTAAGCGTGGAAAATGGTCCCGAGTCCCCTTCTCCCCCCCCCAAGTGCCGTTGTAACTTTGAACGGTCGCTAAGCGAACTGTCGTAAGTCGAGGGCCACCTGTGCTGGATGCCTGTTGCATTTTGCCTCCTTTCAACACACTTTGGAAGGGATTCAGTATTCAGGCCGCACCGTAGCAATGTATTGACGACAAAATGCAGGGGATCGTAAGGGATTTTCCGTGCGGCGCAGCTGCGCCTCCGCGACAAAGTTGCCTCCCTCCATCAAGGCCATCCTTGCCTTCTCATTTACACACAGGTAGAAACCGAGTGCCTTTGCTTTTCTCCGTCCTGCTGTCATCGCTCCTATTTTCCTCCATCCCTCACCGGTTTCTAAACCAGGGGGGGCTCAGAGAGCAACAGGAAACCAAGTGAAAGAGGAAGGAGGGGGAGAAAGAGGGGCTTTTAATCCGAAAGGGCCCCCATCCTCTCCCAGGTCTCTTTTTGAAGTTCTTCGCCCGTTAACATCTCCCTTTGAAGAGTTTTGCAGCCGGGCTCCATTCATTAAGGAAAAATGACAGGCAGCTCCAGGCAAACTTTGACATGATGTCTTTAGAACCAGATTCAAACACTGAACGCTGATCGGAAAGCTAAACTTTTATGCTTGATCCCTCCCATCCAGAGGCAGGAGGACAGATGTGCAATTAAACCTGTGATAAGCGTCTTCTGCTCTCCATTTGTACCAACACCTTTATTTGTCTGTCTGTCTGAATGTCTGTCTGTCTGTCTCTCTCTTCATCACCTATATCTCCCTCCCCCACTCTCCATTCATCCATCATCTATATCTTCCTCCCTCCTTCCCATCCATCCATCCATCCTTCTTCCTCTCCCTCCCTCCCTCCCTCATCCATCCATCCATCCATCCATCCATCCAATATCTTCCTCCTTCCTTCCCTCTACCTCCCTCCGTATCCCTCCCTCCCTTCCATCCATCCCCTATATCTCCCTCCCTCTCCCTCTTTCCCAAGATTTCTGTAGTTTAAACCCATAGTAAAGCCACAGGTGCAGATACTTCCTATCCAGATGGCTCTACTCTTGAGTTACTCGTGGCCATTCACCGGCAAACCTGTAGGGTTGCTTTTAGGCATGTGGGGAAATGTTAGGCCCATCCCACATCCTGAAGTGGGGAGGGTCACAACTGAGCAACGATGAACAAAATGCCAAATTCTAGTTCGATATTCACGTACGGATGGGGCTGAGAGCCAACTCGGCTGATTTTTAACCCGGCCAGCTCTTGGGCATTCAGCTCCGCTTTACATTCTCGGGGGAACCAGAGACGGCGGCTGAATCTCAACTCTCTGGCTTCCTCACCCCAGTTGGCCAAGGACGGAAGGGTGATTGTTCTGTCGTTGCAGCGCTACCTTGAGGAAGCCGACCGAGATAAGGAGCGCTACATGAAGGAGCTGGAGCAGTACCAGAAGACAGAGGCTTACAAGGTGTTTAGCAGGAAAACCCAGGACAGACAGAAAGGCAAAACACATCGGCAAGGTACGACCTCTAAAGTAACATATGCGGGCTCGTTGTACCGTAATACGGGCCGCCCTTGACTTACAACAGAGGCCAACATTTGCGTTGTTGCTAAGCGGGACGGTTGCTGAGTTGAGTTTTGCCCCATTTTACGACCTCGCTTGCTGCCGTTGTCTAGAGAATCCCTGTCGTCAAGTTAGTAACACGGTTGTTAAGTGTCAGGGTTCCAGAAGTAAATCAAGAGTCCAAAGCTATCCCACGATCTTTGGAAAGCTGCAGTCATTGTAAACACATTGTAAACTTACTCCTCGTCTTGTCTGTTTCAGAAGGAACACGCCCAGCTCCCCACGACCATCAGGTAAATGCCTTATTTTTTTTATGATAACATCTGGAGCTAATTCTTTTCTCATTAAGTGTTTGTCAGGGTTCCAAGGAACACACCCGTAGCAAACAAAACTCCGAGGCAGACAGATTCCTCAAAGAACAAGTTTATTGGCTACGTCATATTGGCACAGGCTGGTGAAAACCGACTCTGAACATTCCTGTGGTTCTCACCTAATTAAAAGTAAACATTTGCCACTTTGCCAAAACAACCCGTCACGTGGCCCAGTCAGGATGCAATCCAGCTGCTAAGTGACACCACTCCCCTCCTTCCGAACACCTGCAGGAATGACCTTGGTTCCCAAGAGAAAGTATTTTGTTTTGGCTAGAATACCCCAACTATCTCTATTCCGCTGTCCCTACCACTCAGCTCCAGTGGGTCAGCGCTGGTCTCAAAATGTCCTCAATCAGGCCAACATCAGGGTTGACAGCGTTACTGGAGTTAATTGAAGGGGCGTTGAGGCTCCTGTAGTTAACAAGCAAGCCTGCTGAAAATAGAATGAAACAGCACCCCATAGACCAAAGTTACGATAACCTCAGTCCCATCCGCTGTTCGATCTGCTGGACCAGTTGCTTAAGATTCTGCAAAATCTACCGTATTTTTCAAAATGCGAGACACACTTCCCCCTCCCCAAAAAAGAGGCTGAAAATTTGGGTGTGTCTTATGCACCGAATGCAGCCCCGCCCACTCACCGGCCGCCACCCTTTCTTCTCTGCCTCCCAGCAATTTACCTCCTTGCAGCAAACGGGGAAAATGGGGCTTGCAATAGGCTATGGCAATCCGGCAGCCTGAAACAACGGGTGATTGCATGGAGCATGCTGAAACTGAAATTGAAAGTGAAACGGGCTGTTTGCTGCAAGGAGGCAAATTGGTGGGAGGCAGATTCCCCCCCCCCCTTGTGCTAATTAGGCTAAACTGAAATAAGCTGTTTGCTGTTTGCTGCAAGGAGGTAAGTCAATAGCTATAAATGCCGACAGAATGTTCAAATTATTAGACTTATTTTTAAAAGACTGCTTTATTCTTCTTTTAGACAACTTAAGAAAATGAAGCTGCTTTTTAAAATAAATGCTTGATCTGAAGAGGCCCAGTGCCTGTGTATCTTCTTTTAAATAGAATAACATATACTTCCAGAAACCCACATCAATTTTAACAGCATCTGTACAAATATAGTCTGAAATCTAACACCACAAACAGTGTATATCGTCTGTGCTGTTTGCTGCAAGGAGGTTAATTGTGAGAAGCAGAGTTCCCCCCCCCCCCCCGTTTTCCTCCCCAAAAGCTAGGTGCATCTTATACTTCGGAGTGTCTTATACTCCAAAAAATACGGTAATCTCAAACCTTGGAAGAGGAAACAAGAACCTCATTGTTGGGACTGGGTGATGCTAAGCGAAGGGGAGAAACAACCCCCTCCCTGTTTTAGTATCCAAGTAGCAAGTAGTCCCTTTTCATTTCTATGTGGTCCTTTGCAGTTCTGATGGTTGGGGTGGAGGGGTCAAACGTGTCACTAGTCTCGAGTCCCTTTGCGCCCACAAGAGATCTAACTCCAGCCCACCTGGAATTCTGCTCTTAATATACCGTCACCGAATCGCGCCGTTAGTAATTCAGATTCTTGTAGAGAGCTTAAGCTTGCAATAAACCCTCACATATATTTGAACTTCTTGGGTTTCTGATTTTCCAGCGCTCAACACTTGTAACACTGTAAATCTCTCCAAAATAGAACAAGATTTATTCTACGGCCCAGCAAGCGCAAAAGAGAATGTCTTTTTAGTGGTGGCCTCATCATCCTCGAACTCCTGGCTCAAGTGTTTTAAAAGCTTCTCACTGTCCACGGTTATATATCAGTGTTGCATTTTTTTGGTACCTGACTACCATCCTTTTGATCAGCCTTGAGATTGCAGGGTGCCCCTTAGAGGCCCTCGAATAACTGTTTAAAACAGAATTGGGCTTACATTCCTGGCTTGGGAGTGCTTCCCTCCTCAAGCAACCCAGGAGGATTGCAGCCAGCTGTTGGGCCAGATAATTTCCACAAAGCAAAATGGAAAAGCAGGGTCCTAGACAATGCATTCAACAATAATCCTTAAGATTTAAGAATCTTCTTTGGCGTTCTCGATTCAGTTAGTTCCAATTTTTTGGGGGGGGGGGGGGGGGAAGATTTTTTCCCCAAACGAGTCTGTTAAAGGACTACACCAAGGGTTGATAATAGTTCTTTTATCCAGCTAGAATTCATTGTCACAACTTAACAGCCGCCCTCCAAAAGCAGATTGGTCTGTTCCCCCACACCGACACAATGTCAGA